TTTCATCACATACATGTATCAGCCTCATAAGGTATGCTGCAGGATACGTGAGCCAGTGACCAGTCATTTATTGCACTGTTCTGTGTGTGCAGAATGAGTACGTGCAAACTGCACAAAGTGGACACATAACTCATTTGGTGTTCACGGTGCAAATTAAATATGTTTAATGCATGGGACTGATTCATTACACCTTTGTAACAAACATATATAGCATACAAACCAAAATAAAATAAAGTGGGTTTATTATTGTTAATTGCATGTTTCCCTTTATCAGTTATATTTACCTGTCATAATATTTTATGGTCAAATTTCTAATGCAAGTAAAAGAATCATTGTAATTTTCTAGCATTAAGCTCTCCAGCTGCATGAATCACAGTTGCTTGCTCTCCTTGGATGTCTTTTCTTGTGACTAAACTCATTTTGCTGGTGATTTTTAGCTTGAGACAATCTTCATCAAGGAACATGGCTTCATTGAATAGTCACTTGCCTGTGGCCCTCTGCTTGAGCCTCAAGTGCAAGTTACCTTCCACTCCTTGGCTCTATCCACGCCATCATCACCATCATCATCAGTAGAGTGGGATTCGAACCCACAGTCCCAGTGTCCAAGCACACAAGTCTAACGCCTCAGACCGCGGAGCCACTGTGACCGGCTGGTTCTATTCACAGTAGCCAAACAGACTGCAGCTTCACAGCACTCCACCAACAAAAATTGAAACTCTGGCATTTTTTAGTACTTTAAGATGGTATTGGCAGCTAAAATTTTGTCATAACATCGACAGTTATCTTGTGAGAATCAATATTAAAATAAGTTGATTTTCAAAAACTATCCTGAGAAACTTGTAGCACAGAGAAATGGTGATGCTTCAGTTATGAGTGGGGAGACCAGCAGTGTCCAGGCCACTGTAAAACAAAGATATGGAAATGCAATTACTTTCAATTACGACCACCATCTAAATTTAGTAATGCAGCAAGGAACTGGTCAAATACAGAAAGTACAACTACTTGTAAACTTAACTGCATTTTTATAATTTTTCTCCTGACTGTGTCAAGGCACAGCTATTTTGGATGCAGTTGTCTCTGAGAAACTTCACAGACCAGATGGATTTTCAACAGCAGATTTGTTAAATTGTTTGAAGCCATTTTTATAATATATTGCCAAATGTTGACCCGCTGCTGCTGTAGACAATGTCGCTACTTTATGAACTGAGATAACGAATATCAAGGAGAAGGTTGTGAGTGAAGATGATGCTGCTATGATGATTAAGTGCAAGTCTGTCTCTCAGAAGAAAACTGATAATTTCAGAGACATATGTGACAATAATAGTGCATACCAAGGAATGCTTTTCCTATAAGAATTATTTAGTAGCTTCAAAAGTGAATGTAAAATTACAATGAGCAATCACAAACATATCCAGAAACAAAATTGTAAAATTTAGCCAAATCTTAACCTTTCCTTAACAAAAGGAACTACAAACTGAGTTAATCTTTACTGCATAGGAAAGAAAAGTGTCCTGCTACATGCCTATGAAGGCACTTGGGGGGAGTGGAGGTATAGCTCCTACTCTTTCTTGACCTCGGCACCAGATGGGGTGAGTGGTCAGCATCACGCCCCGGCCGTGCTTTACCCCCGGGAAGGGACCCCGGTACCCACTGAACAGGAGGCTGGGTGGGCCCCAGAGCCGGTCTGGACGCAGTAGGAATTCAAATCCTCATACTATGGGGCTGCCAGTCAGACTTTAACCATGCGGTTTTAATGGTTTAGCACAATGTTTCTGTGACACATGGCTAGGAGGACTGCACACAAGGTATGATGCACAGCCGATAAAGTTTGATGACTCTGTACTGGAATAAGCATGTTCACAAGTCTCAAGTATTGTTACTGCACTTTCCTTCTGGACAACAATCTCTCACTGACTTATTGCAAAACAGTGAGCCTGTTGAAAATAATTATAACTTTATCAATGACAACCGCCAAGCCTTAAAAATTTTCTTTTATACTAAACAGTATAATGAGTGACAGCTGGCTGAATTTTTGAGCCATGCTGACAGTGTAAAATTAAATTACAGCTGCCTAACTCCAGAAGCTGAACCATTAGATACATTTTCACAAGTGAAAGTGGTACATATAGACAGTAATGCTTCAGAATTTACATAGAATTTAAGTAAACACAGAGTTACTGGTGGGATAGCAGCAGGGAGAGAGTCTCTACACAGCGGTTAGAGAATTACTATGGCAACGGGAAGTCCCAATGAGGTGCAAGAGGTTGCTGTATGAGGTGTACCTTGTACCAATTGTTACATACGCAGCAGAAACTTGGACACTGGGAATAAAGGAGATACAGAAGGTGGAAACAATGGGTATGAAGTTTTTGAGGAGTGCATTAGGTATAACAAGGAGAGATAAAGTATGGAATGAGGAAGTTAGGAATCGAATGGATGTGAGGGGTCTGGTAGAGAGAGTAGAAGAAGCAAGAATGAAGTGGTATGGACATGTGAAGCGAATGGGAGAAGGGCGGATAGCACGACAAATGTTGGATATGAGAGTGGGTGGCACAAGACCAAGGGGAAAACCATGAAGTAGGTGGGAGGAGCAGATAAAATGAGGAGTGATGGAGAGAGGTGCACAGTGGCAGTTGGTGGAAGAGGGACAGGAAGAGCTGGAGGGGCCTTACAAAGTGGACCTGACCCCAGGCTGGAAACAGCAATGGATGATGATGATGATGATGAGAATAAACATAATCATGTACAACAGAATTCCAAACGGACAACTGTAAAGGATGATCAGGATCAAGATAAAGGAAATAAAATTCAGCTAGTTGGGTAAACAAACATTTACCATCCTTCCATCCACCTACATAAAATGTTTTGCTACTCTTCATCTTTGGTTAAAATCCAGAATAATACAAAATTACACAAGCCAGCTACCTTTTACAATGCCCAAATTCTGCATGTCTGTCCTCTAAATGCCATTTGTCTTTTTGTTATCCAACAACAAGAACTCCAAAAAGTCTGTAGGGACACTTGACGACACCAGTCAAGAATGCAGCAAGAGCAGAATGACTGTCATACAATCCACAACACTCCAAGAAGTTTCAAACGTGGCTAGCACTTGATGAAAAGACATGCTTTGTGCTGCATCAGAGTTAACAGGATACTTTATGTGCTTGCTATGAAATTTTCACTCTAAACATGCAGGATAAGCAAGCACACCAAAGTACGAAGCAATGCAAGAAACTTCGGAAAAGAAACGAGGGCAGTAAGTCAGAAAGGAGATTCTATGACCCATGTTTGCATGAACCTTTCTCAATGATTCTGTGTAACTCTTAAAATGCTGTAATAAGCTTGGCCATTTTGTTTGCTTCACTATAACAATTTCAATTAATTATTTTTTTACATTTTCTTGAACCTGTTTTCTATAGGTACAAACTTAATCCTTATTTTTTGCTTGTCTGTTACAGAAGTTTCAATGACAATGTTGATTATTTAACACATTCTTATGCTGGCTGATGCTTCCTTGATTGCTGAGGTGCCACACTGGCTATTCTCATAGAGACAGGCTGCACAGTCTACATGCAACAGAAATTTGACCTGATCTCCCTCCCCCCAAAAAATATAAGATATGGAGCATTCCCCACTCCATACAAAGTACAAAAGCAGGCAGAAGTTACAGCTTAATTAATTTCTGACCTCCCACCTTGATGCATTAGCATCTCAACTATGTGCATTCTCTGAGCTGTATATTATTCACTTCTGCATTTAAAAGTGCAAACGTAACAGAGAATGGCTTCATATCATATCACACCCATCCTTTTCAACCTGAAACCGTGTACCAGACTGCATTGGCATTTTTATTTCTAGGATTCCATTCCTACTTCTGTGTACTAACACTGGTTGTATATCCTCTTTTTAATAGGTAATTTATTTCTTAAATTTAAGGACTACAACTGAGCCAGTCACACCCAAAGTAAGTGAACATCCGAAACCACAAGCACTGGCCTTTTCCAAAATAACTTTGAATATTCCAACACCTTTTTCTGCTGGACCACTTGACTAGCGACAACTTGGGCTAGAATTATTTGCATTAAATTTTATATTCTTGGTGAAATGGCTTAAATTCAAGTGATCCTAATAGTACATTATCAGAACAAAAGCTTTTGGCAGGCCCTGTACCAAATCCACAGTGGCACATTCATCGCCCTGATGACGGAGGCAGTATGACCTCTGAAACGTTGGTAAACATCTACCATACTACATGGCACAACAACCCAGAAGACAGAAATCTTCATACAGGAACATTGTTACCACCCATTCATTATTACAATAAAAATGTCTAATGCACAGTTTGTAATGCCTGAAATATACTTTACTCGGTGACTATTGCCTCACTGCAGTGGCAGTCCTGACACGCCTTCATTGTGTAAGCAAGTTTATGTTAACTATTAACATCAATAATAGCCTTACATATAATAAATGTATTATGCTTATTCTGTTAATTCACATATTGACAGCAATATTAACAGATTGTAATCACATTGTGCATGGAACAATATTGGCGATTTCATACAGACCACTCTCTTCAATAAGAAACACATAATTCTTATTTTTTGACACCAGATGCTGTGCTTCCACATTCTGAGCATAGTTAGCACATCCAGTAGATACAGAAGTATAGCCTACTTGGGTCCCAAATCTTTCAACTAAACATGATTCACTACCCAAACTGTGCTCAATCTATCAGAGACATGCTAAGCCATTGCTCGTGACATCACGACACCCAAGCACTCAAATTTCTCAAACAATCTCCCATCCCTTTTCTAAATCTAGACAGAAATTTTTGCCCTGTGGTAGAATAAATGGTACAGAGCTTTCATTTGTTATGAAATCCATACAATACATTCTGAAACAACCAGGTTCCAATGACAACAGCAAAGACAACCTAAGTCCTAAACAGTACATACGTATCAAGATAAAACGGAAGATATAGATGTATGGAACAATACCTTTTCCAGCACATTAAATACAATGTCTGCAGGTTTACTGAAGCAATCTGGTAATGGACCATCTTCACGGCAGATGTTCTGCTCCACAAAAAAGCGAATTCTATCACTGAAGCCTAATGGACAAGTTGCTTGAAGAGAGAAATATCTGCAAAATCAAATGACATTCCATAGCAAGTCATGAAAAAACATGTATTGAGAGTCGGATTTGAGGTTTTCATGGTGGTGATTAAAAAAGTCTTATGGGTTGTAGGGCAATGAGTCATCACTCTGATGATGGAGGCAGCAAGGACCTCTGAAACATTGGTAGAAATCTATGAGACTACATAGCGCTACAACCCAGAAGACAGTCATCTTCTAAGAATTAAGAGCATCTGCCACTGACAGTGCATTTCAGTGTTTCAAATTATTAGACCTCAGATGTTCTAATTATGACAGAACAAACTTCAAGTTGAAAATCCAAAAAATAAAGCAATATCTGAAAGTTAGTAAGAAACAAAAATGAATAACACTTTGATGTATAAAGTATGCTGTAGTCCATACATTTTTCTATGTAATAACACAATCATTGCAAGCACAGGTCAAATATACATATTTATGTGTAAAATCTGGGGAATTTTCAAGTCAATGACTGAAGAGTAGGACTTCAAAGTTCCATAGTTGTAAGATCCATAGCTACTGAATAAACAAACACTAAAACAACTAAAAAAAATTAAAAAATTTATTTCACCAGACAATAGGGCCTAGTGTGCAGAGTGATGTGCTCGTTATTTCTAGCCCAGCTTTTAAAATTGGATAACATATTCATCAGTGAGTACCAGGTCCGGCTGAATGAGAAACCCCCGTATCTGTTGAAGTTCCCGAGCTTTCAAATTAGACCATATTCAGTGCTGTATCTTTAATGGGCTTAAAAATACAGCCAGTTGAAAAGCAATCTATGGATGAAATTTATAACAAATTTTACATTTTCAAATCACTAACTTTAAAACCACTAGCCTAAAAACTCAAAGAGACATGAGTTCTGTAAGTGTGGCATAGTTCATTAAAATCTGAAACACAAACATATAAAGCTGTATATTAATGAATATAAAAATGGATTGCTTTGTTTAAAAAATTTACATGTAGTATCTACTACATCAGAGTCTGAATTTAAAACATGGGATGGAAAAATGTGCACCTAGCTAAATGACAGTTAAAAGGAAGGCACCCCAATAAAAGGACAAATAGGACAAGAGTTAATGCGAAGCAAATGCAGATACAGAACATTCTTTCTTCATATACTGACCTTAAAATACAATGGAACTGACAAATGCTACTTTAATTAAGATGGGGACCTGCTGATTTCTGGACACCATATTTTTTTTGAGTGTTGAGAACACCCCTCCCCCCAATTCTCACAACAATTATTAGTACAATATGCCTGAAAGGGATTCCCATCTCAGGCAACTGCAGAAGTTTGCCACAGATGAACAATAAACACAAAATTCTATATATACAAAACACTGTGAAACAAATTTGTATCATTGGGGCTGTGGGGGAAATGCAACATTGCTGCCATGTGTTTCATGTAAAAGTTTCAGTACTAAGTATTGCAGACTTTGTACTTTCCAAGCAGGCAATGTTATTTACAATGAAGCACTGAATGGAATAATAAGTGATGAGTAAGTAAGGATTTTGAAGGAGGTGGCTGTAACCTGTTACAAGGCATTCACCTGCAGAGACTGAGGAAAACTGTCACGGAGGCTGGTGACCTAGCCAAGACTCAAACCCACACAGATGAGTCTTACTGCAATACCAACCTGTTCAGTGACAACTTCCAGGAGAAAATAAATTCCTTGTTTTTCTTTTATCAGAAGCTGCAAAGTTAACTACATGCTTTGAACCCTCTTTCTACACCCACCTTAATGAATACTGTAACTGGAAATGTAAGAACCATAGATAAAAATTCTTTTGCTCTTTATCTAATATCTATAACAATATCACTGTTGACAATAATGGTTGCTGTACACTTCTATCACACCAAGAGCAATGACAGTAACTCACTTATCATAGAGGACTATGGCATCATTCTGAGCCTCCACTGAATCATAGTCTCCCTTCTTGTCCTTCAGGTGCTGTTCAAAGTTGACTGCTGCCAACCAGAACTGTACCAGGCTTTGATTTCCTTCTTGTTCCATGTACTAAGCAACACAAAGAAACACTTATTAGGAAAGAACGAAAATGTAAGAAATCATTGCCAACACAAAATACAAGACTACAGCATCAACCAACAATTCTAAAACCGATGTCTGTTTGACAGAAACAGTTTTAAAAAATGAATAAAATGGCAGCAGTTAAAAGATGATAGTCCTGGCAGCTTCCTGTTGTTAGGAAGTGTTGTATGTAACCTATGTAACAGCATACAAATAAATGACTAACTAACTAACTAACTAGATGGCTTACCGAACCCGAAGGTTCATCACCGAATTAACCAAAGCCCTCCACCGGACCCTGTCCTGGGCCAACAAAATCCAGTTTCCTTCAACTCCTATCTCCCATAGATCCCGCCTGATATTATCCTCCCATCTACGTCTAGGTCTCCCCAGCGGTCTCTTCCCTTCAGGTTTCCCAACCAGTACCCGGTGCACACCTCTTGTCCCATCCATGCGCGCTACATGTCCCGCCCATCTCACTCTTCTCGACTTAATCACCCTCACAATACTGGGGGAGCAGTACAGATTTTTAAGCTCGTCATTGTGCAGTTTTCTCCACGCCCCATCGTCTTCCCTCTTAGGCCCAAATATCCTCATCAACACCCGATTCTCAAACACCTGCAATCTGTGTTCCTCCCTCTGAGTGAGAGACCATGTTTCGCACCCATACAAAATAAATGACTACAAATATAATTATAAGTCAGTTACCATGTGAACCCATATATATATTCTTTCATAACAATGGCAATAGGAAGTGATCTAGTGGCATAATATGCATTCTATCACATTAGTATGCATTCTTATCATAACCAAGCCACAGACCGGCAGATGTTGGTTTGCAGACATGGTAGGCCAAGATACTGGTGAATTTGATCTCTGGCCAGAGGACATTTTATCTTTCTTGTTGCATTTGACACACTTTACTGTGGCCAAAAAACTGTTGGGAAAGATATGTTGAAGGAGACGGGCTACCAAGACATCATGGTTTGTTGTAATTAACTGGCTACCAAGAAGTTATGGCTTGGTTACAGTTATTGGCCACACAGTGCAGGTACTTCAAGACTGCTGTCATCCTATGGATATGGAAGACAAACTATATGACAAGCTTCTGGAATCACAACACAGCGGAAAAGCCAGGACAATAATACTAGGACCATGCTGCGCAGTTATAGAGCAACAGACATTTTTTTTCCTTCCTCTCCCACGAGGCGCTGATGACTCAATTTTGTAATAGTGATCTGATTTCATTAGAAACAAGACTGAAGATATGAAAGGACATTTTCTGGTGATGGTCGATGTAGCTTGCAAATTTGATCTAAAAAGTCTGTCGGCATCTTCTGTGGCAGAAGTCCCTCTACAAGACAGCGGACCAGTAACTGTAGTCTACACGGGAGGTACTTTCCAGGAAAAAATGCAGGAAGTATATAAGCGTTTCAACACAGAAATTGGAATGTTTAACATAAAAGTGTACAGGATGTTGTGGAACTCATCAGAACATTGTTGGCTGGCTGGTGAGGTCATAGGGGCCTGACACTAATTTGGATATGAAGTAGGTAAATTACTAGCCCATTTTCACTTTAACTGGCCTGTGTGTTAGCCTGTTAAGCTAGAGTGCTGTTTTTGAATTCAAGCCATAGGATTTGTGTGGTTTTTGAAGATGAGTACTAGGTATTAATTCTACCAGAGAACAAGCTATGAGCCGAGGTTGCTCAGTCAATAGCATGACTGACTATGGACTGGGTTTGATTCCTCACAGGGGCAGAGGATTTTTCCTCTAGCCTCTACATCCAGACTGGTTCTGGACTCACCCAGCCTCCTGCACAATAGGTACTGGGGTCCTTTCCCTGAGTGCAAAGTTCAGCTGGGGCATGACACTGACTGCTCACCCCTATCTAGTGCTGAGATTAAGAATAAGTAAGAGCTGTACATCCTTTCCCTGAATATGGCATGTAGCAGGACAGCATTTTTTTTAAAAGGCGAAGGTGGTAATTCTGGGGCTAGTGCTGTAAGCTGGCGACTGGGCAAGTGTAGGCCTGCGCTCTGTTCTAAGCACATAGTCTTATGTTGGACATACATATGTGTGCATATGGTATAATAATAGTTAAGTAACTTGCATTGCAGTTAATGTAATATTTTACTGATGAATAGTTCTTTATTAAGTTTCAGCATTACTAGGCGCATACAACAGAGTAGCATGAGGCTATATTCAAGGAAAGGCATGTTTTATTTATTCAGGTTTGCTTGATAATGTAGTAATTTTTCATCTTAGTTCTGTCACTGAGAAAGGTTAAGACTGCATTTCTGTGTGTTGAACACTGTACCATGCAAAACTAACCCTCAAATGGTAGACTGTATAATGAGGGAGAAAAGTTGATTAAACCAATGTTTATGTGCATGTATAATAGGAATAAAGATTTCTACAGTTGTCTATCAGATTGAAAAATGTGTACACAATTCTTTCACATTTTAAGGTAAAGACATTAATAATATGACAATATTTTCAAATTATGAACCTAATGACAGCAGAAAATTTAAATGTGTAATATTCCCTTCAATTAGAAACATTCCTTTCAATTGGAAATAATCTTACAGAGTGAAGGCTTGAGGTACAGCACCAAGAAAACTTTTCTGAATAATGTGTATTTTATTTCATTGTTGTATGTAGGTTTTTAAGAAAGATAAATTGTTTCATCAAAATACACACAGTGTAGTACAACTGTGAATTTAAATTGTGCCAGCAGGGAATATGGAGATTTAAAAGCCTGGTACTTTAAAGGTTAAGCAATATTTGATAAACATACCTCCATGAAATAAAAGAGAGCAGTTTCATTGTAGAGTATATCTGTGAGTACAACATTGCCACTTGTAAGTACATCAATCTGATGCTTGCAATGGAAATCACTTCGCAGGAAATCATTAAAATACCTGTAACAAAGAACTGTATAACAACATGGATTCAAAATATTATTCAGCACCTAACTTTCCTTCACATAGCTTAGTGATCTATCACTGACCCAAGTTACACGAGGTATAGATTTCCATTAGCTGTATGTTCCTGAATATCTGATTCATACTTTTGCATGTACATAATTTCTGACACACAAGGAAAAAGACTTCATGTGAAACTTCTTGAAAATTTTTTAACATACGAAAATATAAATTTTACAAGCTTAACAACAATATATGTTTCAAGTAATCACCATGTTTTTTGGCTCTATTTTACAAAATAGGATTAACAAAAGTTTAATATTTCTGCTGCTGCCCGAGCCTCTGGTGATGTATTTTCAAAGAGCTCTTTAAATATAACATGAGTATAGATCCACAACACCAGAAAAACTGCATGCATCTCAAGAACCATAACAAACATTACATTACAATTTTTATAAATGTTTGTATAATACAGAAGATGCAATGTGCCCTCACCCTCAATTTTGAATATCAACATCCCTTTCTCTGTGGTACTCCAAAACAGTACAACAGGAGGTTACATTGTTTGCACGAAGTTTGAATTTCACAGTTTGTGGTGCCCTCTTTTTTATTTTGATATATAACACACACAAATTTGCATGACCCATAATCTTTCCTAGAGTGAGGAAATTTTGGAGAGGGCATACCTTACATAATTTTTTTTATTTCTGCCTGTACATTTCTATGGTGTAAAGGTTCCAGTTAGTTGCTGCATTAAGTTTGTTCATCAATTCCACTGCCTGTTACCATGCACAGTGATGGTCCACTTGCCATATTGTATGGAATAAAAAGGTTTACAGTACACACATTTAGTATAAAATAAAAGACAAACTTTCACTGTTCTTTGGAAGCTCTACCAATACCTTTCTATTTATGCACAACCATTCCCCTTAAACATGTGTAATTAGCCACAGCTTTAGGTTATGTTACTATTAATTTTCCCCTTGCCCCTTTCTTCTCTAATATTTTATCAGACCTGAGGTCCAAATTTAAAGAAAGGGCCAAGGCATGATGTTTATCACACCATGTAACTGCAGTGACACCATCGTGTCATAATTTAAGTGACTAACCACATCCATTTCAGAGCCATGGGATATTTGATTTCATTCAGCCAGCCTTTCTTTCCTAAACAGGCAGTTCCACAGACATAGACTTTCTTTTCAAAAAGGAGTTTCACCAATTTTGGCAAAGTAAATTTATCAAAGTGGACATGTGGTATTGTCCTGCATATTCTTTCGACACCTGCAATATTACTTGTTCCTACAACAATTCTGTGCTGGTTTCCTTTTTCCTGTTTTAACCCTCCATTCGGGGGGGGGGGGGGGTTAGTTTAGTTTCTTACACAAGATTTTAAAATGCAACCCCCCCCGAAGGGGTTGGTTGCATTTTAAAAACTTGACCAATCCCCCCGAGGGGCTCCGAAAGGAGCACTCTGCTCTAGTATTGTTTTATTCTGCTACAATCTCACACAATGGTCAACAAACAAACAAACAAACTGAAGCAGTCTTTTTTTTAATCTTCTAACAGGTGGATTATGGGATGGCCCTTGAAAATAACCACAAAATGGTTCTGTATCGTCAAATTCAACACTTGCTTTGATTTCATATTACCTGCCCTTTGTATGGATTGGGCATTAATTATCCATAACAACTTCCTTGTCTACCTTTGTCCTATATTCTCTACCTTCAGTGTCTTTGACATCTTCACTCCATGATGCTACAGAACTATCAAGTTTACAACTATCTTCCAAAATCTTAGATACTGCACCCTCACTGATATTGATTTTCTGCACATCCAATACCTAAGATGTAGAAGCCATCACCTTGAATTCAAAGGAGCTATGTAGCACACACAAGCTGGCAAAAGAGAGTCCAAAAAAATTTGTAATTTCATCATAATTCAATTCCTTTGTCAAAACAAAGAATATAAAGAACATTCAGATTGAGAAATTTGAAGCCTCATGTGTTCTACAGCATTAAGGCTGGAAAAGGGTTTTTATCACCATACAAAACTTAATAAATATGCATTACACATCAATGCAATTCTTCATATAAGTTCTGTACTTCTAGTGTGCCAACAGCTGAAATCATTTAACTTCACTAATGGCATTTGGAACATTACTATTCATTATTCTGTGTTTATAAAGTTCAAACACTTTATCCTCTTTACCAGCATACTTAAGTTTTATTATTAATACAAATTCACTTCAAATTACATACTTTTCATACTTATAATTGCACTGGTACTACAGGAAGGACTTTGGACAAATAAACCTGAACATATTCTGCCAGAACAAAATGAATAATTATAGTAAACAAACTATAGCTAGTCCTGCATAGCTTAACCACTGAAAACACATAAATATAAATCTTATAAATTGAGAAAGGGTTGTATTTGTATAATGCAAGCTGTAACATTATATGTGAATGGATTTTGTTTCATCATATTTCTGATACCATTGGCAATTAATAACTTCCCCAATTAGGCCTTCACTGCATGACAGTGTTAATTTTACTGTCAGTTCCAAACAGCTGTTAAGAAGAACCAACTTAAGATGATAATAAAGAATCTTAATTACTTATCATTGGAAGTTCAACACATTTCACATTATAAAGTCCAAGGGGATGGGGTGCATGAACTCACAAATGGAATACCTTACCTTAAGTTCATTCATTATTTAGTCTAAAAACATTTAATTAATTTGCCACAAAATTAGTGAAGATGTATTTAACAATTTCTGATAGGCTGTACAGCACAATTTTCAGAATTCTTACATGATGTTAATTAAAAGTATTATAATTTTAAAGAACTATTAAATTCCCAAAGAATTTCTGCTTACTTTGCTCTGCAATTCTGTTATAAATTAAACATACTTACTCTGTCTCCATGGTCTGGAGTACAAGTCCCTGCAGTTCTGTAAAAGATTCAGCATCCACCATGCCTGCATCACTGCAAATGGCTGCCACAACTCGATCTCTAACAACATCAGGAACCCTAACAGGGTGCGGTGCTTCATGGGAGATGTATTTGTTGAAAATTCTTAATGCATCATCCACAGTTGCTTGCGTCAACAGACTGCTTCCCACTGACAAAGACACTGCTCTTCCATCCTTGCTAGAAGGAACTGATGTTTGCTCTGATACTAACTCATCACCACAAACAGCACAACCACTAAAAGTGTTACCTATTTCACTTGTTGAAACAGCCACTAGCTTCTTACAACAATCAGATGCAACTGCACTCTCTGAATTGCAGGAATCAGTCTTGATTTTACTGATGTTACTAGGCTTATGGTTAACTACCATATTGCTATAGCGATCCCTACAATGCCGATCAAAACTACCGTTCGGTAATGCACATGGTACAAGACTTCCTGGGCTTTTACTACAGGTTAAATTAATAACTGGTGACTGAGAGAGTGGTAAATCATTCTTAAGAGTTTCTTGTACTTCATCTCGAGTTCCAGAACTAATATCATTTGCACTGCCACTGGAATGGAGTGGAGATTCAAACACACTTCCAGAGTCCGTGCTGAGTGACAGTTTGTCATTTTGACAGTGAGACTGACAAAGACTTGTCCTATTAGGGTCTTGACCAGGTGCCTTTCTATTTATGCAACTGACACAGTCCTGTGCACCAGCTGCTGCTCTGAAGCTCTCTACATCAAGCCAGAATTTGATGAGGGAGAACCCATCCCGAGCCTCCAGGTACTGGATGAAGTAGCTCAGTGCTCCCTTGTCGGCCAGAACCTCGGCAAGTGTCTTAGACAGTCGAGAATGGTGGGCCACTGTCCTCTTCCATTCAGAACTATCTGCACATACATGTTTCAGTTAACTGCGTCGCCTAAAAGCTTTCTGCAACACTTCATACATTATTTAGGAATAAGAAAGTTCCATTAATAACTAGTTCTGTGAAACAATAACTGTTGTACTTTATGTTTAATTTGTTTGTTATTGCTCATTCTTACTAATTCAGAATGAGACATGCCAATATTGTCAAATGGCCTTCTGGAGTATGTTGCCACTCTCATAATGGTCTAACTACCTGACAGAAATAGCTCAAGTTACCAGATGACAAAGAGTGAGTGACTGCTAAAAATATTGGAAATATTGTACATCAATAATATATAAAAGTGTGGAACTCAAACAATATGGAGAAAAACTCTTGATATCTCTAAATGCTGTATCAACATGGCTCACTGACTGCCTGCCTACATTTTAGTCAATGTAAAAATTTTTGATAAAGTAAGAAGACAGCATTTATCAAGTGCTGGTTTCCAGGACCCAAGAACTACAATTTTGTTTGTGTAAAGTAGTATTTAACAATATTGAAGGAGGAAAATTTTCCAAGAATGATTCCTCCTACATCCTTACCCACTCACAATTCATAACCATGTCTTCTCTTAGCATTTCTTGTTTCAGTAAATTCCCCACTCCTCCATAAATATTGATAATTCCAGTCAAACTCCTTCAGATATTTCTTCCTTCAGTACTCCAAAGAGATATCAAGAAGGTTAACCTTGGTTACGCAACTGATAAATGGACTGAGGATAGTGCACAGTGATACAGTGTTTTGGAACAAGGTACAACATTCCCTTCCAAATAGTAAATACCATTCAGTATAATACAACATACAGAAGTGAAACAACACTATAAAATAACCTAAGAATCAAGGAAGCATGTTAACTAATCTAAGAATAAGATAAAATGTAATACTGAATACTTTCTAAGAAGATTTACTTCTCCTCAATATGTTTTGATGACAGCCACAAATGTGAGTTTTATACATGTACATTGCCACACAATGACATGTCACTTACAATTTAAAATTTGTACAACTAGTATACTACACTGCCTGATAAAATCTGAAGATAACATTTTGTGGTAAAAATACCTGGTCCCACATTTTACTTATATGGTTTATGCAATCTTGTTTTTTGTATCAACTTTTAAAATGTTTTTACCAGTCTGTAATAAGAATAATTCGAGCTACACCATAAAATATGAAAGTGAGAATACCACTAACCAGAAGAATCACTGCTACAAAAGAATATTTGCAGCATCAGAGAAAATAAAATGAAGCACTTTCCAATGTCAACAATACTGTGGAAGAGGTGGGACAATTCTAGTGACTAAGCTATAAGCTGACAGCCAGGGTTCAATTTCCAGCAGGGGCAAGAAGTGTTTCTCTTAGCCACTGTGCCCAGACAGGCTCTGGGGCCCACCCAGCCTCATATAGTGGGACAGCAGTTTCTCCCTGGGGACTAAGTGGAAGAAGCATGACCATTTACCTCCAGCTAATGTATGGAGCTATTTCTCCACTTCCCCACATCATCATATGATGATCAAGCACCAGAGACAACTTTAAGAATATTATGCAATCATTAATGGTTAACAGCAACTTAAGTTCGCAACCCTAACTTCAATAACATAAGTAAAATTACACTCACTAAAAACATTTTTCACATGATGTGTGCACTCCAACTTTAAAAACCTGTGTTATGAATACAAATACATATACAGGGTGACTATTGTGGGAAAATGGCACACAAAACAACAGGAATGGATAGAAAACCTCACAATAAAAATGTAAAGTGAAGAATTCTCTAGAAGGAATTTTTACATAATTGTCAAATGGGGCAAGTACATTAATCACTATCGGAGGACCAAGAGTCATAGGACATGATGTACAGTATAGGAAATACAAAGACAGCTTCAATAAAACCTCCAGATTGTTAGATCGCTATATTGCTTCAGTAAATTCATCACAGAGTACAGGGACTGACTAAGTGTAATGCCACCATCACTGTTAAAGTTTCTGGGGTAAAGTCTGATCTCAATGGCTTCCTTTATCATACAATCCATGTATCCTGTCACCTTGTCCAGGTTGGAGATGTGACTGAAGTTGATATGCTATGCCCAGCTTCTCTGGCTTGCCCAGACGTGTATGTATCATATGTTCCTTGCATCTGGCCTCGATGGTTCTGCCAGTATGTCCCGCATAGTCTATGTCATACTCACAGGGTACACAGTATACCACTGAGAATTTTAGACCCAGATTGTCTTTTATTAATCTAAGCAAATTAATATTTCTCTTTACCAGGATATGGATGGTTTGCATGTCATCCCAGTGATACCATGGTCAAGAGTGATCAACACTCAGCTCACAATAATAGTCTCACCATTGTACTGTGCAGTCGTCCCATGCCAGTAAGACATCGGCAAGAAAGGGTAAGTAAAATAAACTTCAAGTTGCACAAATATTGTAACACGGTCCTTGGTGTTTGTGGTAACTGGACCTACACTGCAACCAGGGCTTATGCACAAAAGTATCCAGCATGCCACCATCCAGATAGTAATGTGTTTCGCTGGCTGGACAAGACGGATGAGGGTGACTGGCAAGGGTCAATTACACTCTCTCTTGATACCAGCACTTGAAGAGATGGTTATGGTTATAGTGACACAGAATCCATGTTGTAGTACACATGGAAATGCCCCAGAATTGGGTGTTGTACATTGGGCTGTCTAAGTAATCTTCCATGATGAAGACCTGTATCTATACCACCACTCTTGGGTTCAAGGTGATTATCATTATTGCTTTTATGAGAACATGAATGTGATTCAGTCATTTTGGAGCATGTTGGATTTAGCAGCATTCACATGTGAAGGTGTCTTCAACAGTCAGAACAGCTTCTTGTGGGCACACATGATTGGGGCCATCATGTTCAGTGGAGCTTAGATGTGTTGGCTGCTATCATTAGTAATTGTGTGGTTAGACCATGCCTACTACTGGATTACCACAATGGCCCTGCTTATTGTGTATTCGTGCAGTAAAATCTACCAGTGCTGCTTGAAGATGTGCCACTGAAGCTCAACATGACATGTGGTTTTAACATGAAGAGGAACCAGCATATTTAAGTGCACAGACCCAACAGCACGTCTTCCTGATAAATGGCTAGGATTTGGCAGCCCTGCGAGACCACCAGAAATGAACCCTCTGGACTTCTTCCTTTGTGGACACCTGAAAGAAATTGTTTACATGGATCTGCCAACTAACACAGATGACTTGACAGCAAAGTTTGGTGAGCACTGACGAAGATATTATACAATGTGAGCAAGTTAGTATTCTATGATATGCAGCTGCATGTCAGCAAATGCATGGTGGACACTTTGAACACTTACTGCTAACTACTGCCCTCTTAGTTATGCATCTGCCATATTCTGTATCGACAAATATTATACGTTTCACAAGTGTTGTTTATCGTGACATGTATGAACGATGGATTCTTCTTATGTACAGTATTCTTTTGTATTAACTCACTTATTCATGAACGTCACCTGCAGTTTCTTTGTAGATATTCAACCCTCCATGTGTCTGCTTCTGTCTCTCGGTGTCACCACTAGTTTCGTTGCTACTTATGACTGGTGCAATTCTTACCCCATTTGAGAATTCCTTCTTACCATGATATCTCAATAATGATTCCTTCTAGAGAATTCTTCCTTTTAAACTTTAGTTTCCTTTGAATTTTTATACAAATTCCCATTGATGTTAAGAGTAATATTTACCACACTCTGTACCTATAATGTAATTAACAATATGACAAACCATTTTTGATCATAAAATTTTGGAAATAACTGAAAATACTGTTTATCTCTTTGACGGGTAATGTTTATAATATCCATTAAACAGATTACTGGAACCATATGGAGATGTGTGTCTGATTTAACAGACATACAACAGGGCACACCTGGCCACTTCCAGCCACCTGCTTCAAAAGTACATGAAGGGCAGATGCAGAAGTTCTCACAAACAACACAGTATTACATAAACATGGACAAAGTAAGTCTTATTTTGGATATCCCTGATAATTTTGGTACAATAATATAAACTGTTTTTAACAAAGTAAAGTTTGTAATGGAATGATAAGTATGATGAATTAGCACTGAATAAAACATTCGTATTATGTGGAAAATAGGCATCATAGTAAGACATGTTTTGATTTGTGTTGAATGTTATTAACACCTAAATAATTAACAAAAAATACCTTCAGTACAAAGATCCTCTTCTTGGAAGCGTGAAAGAGGTCCAACAGGACCTGATTTCAATCCATCACTGGAAGCTGTAGATTCATCAGTGTTTGACAAGGGCACAGCAGTCTGAAACTTGGGCAATTTAGCAGGTGAAGCTGCAGACGGGGAGCCGCTTCCTTTACCTTTTTGTCCTGTGTATTGAGAAACAGGCAATCATATTGTGTGAGAAATATACTTAACAGAACTTTTATACCATCAATGAACTAAAGAAGCGTCT